ATTCTTATATATATATTTATATATATATGTATATGTTTGCGTCTATATTTCAATATTTTTAATATATATATATATAAATCTATATGTATATATTTACATGCGCGTATAAATCACGAAATCTTCAAGAGAAAAAAAAATATCCTAAGTCGAAGAATCCTTAATTCGTGATTTACGTTTTAAGGCACTTTGCGCTGTATGTCGTAGACGACGATGTAAAAGAACTGCTCTTATAGCGTGTAAGAGCTTGTACAACAGAAAGATAAGAGGAAGGAAGATACGCGATCACGTCCCAATGACATATTCTTTTGGATGTAACGTGACCGTTGAAAAACTTATACGTTACGTAAGGAAGTAACATATAAAGAAAAACACTCTAAGTACTGTTGCTCAATTAAGTATCAAAAGAAAAAAACCAACTCTGAAATGATTACACATATATGTATATACTTTAGTAAAAGAAAAGGGTTCAAAGATAAATGATCTCTAAAATAACAGTCACTGTATAATACAATGATACGAGAAAGGGACTTGCACAGAATATCATGCGGAATGTCGTCTGTAAATAACTACCATGGACAGAGAAGCATGTACCATATACATTCATGGAAGAATAAATCGCCCATCGTAATAATAATACAACACTCTTTCACACAGTAATGATGCAACTAGAATAAGTTTATCCGTGCCACGCACGAGAAATAAATGTCTGAAAATCACAACCTCTCATTGCAAGGACTACAAAAAACATACAAAGGAACGAATAATTATTGGTCTTACCGAACGGTTTTTTAAAATTCAACCTATGACGGTATACGAGGATAGACAAAAAAAAATGATGCATTAAGAAGAGAAGATACGTCGTTCATCCATTGCATGTGTTCAACGATCGTGATCAATACTAGCAATTTAATCTATCAAATTTGAGGATAAAATTGAGCAGGATACGGCAAGCCTGGTGCCGCGGTTGGAGCTTGCGCGTGAAATGCGGTCGCCGGTGTATGCCAAGTAGCACGTTTTGCGACAGTGCTTGATGTATCGGATGGGAAAGCAGTTTCCCAAGTTCTCTTTAGTCCCATTATAGCGGCCGGATTAATAGGGGCAGCTTGAACGATAGGTGTTAGAAGACCATGCGGTGCCGGTGCCCGCAAAATAGGAATTCGAGAGGGAACATTAAAGAGTAAGAAAGGCGCCGGCGCGGGTGGTTGAGCGTGAAGCGCTGCAGCAGCCGCAGCGGCCGCAGCTGCTGCCGGAGGTGCCATGGCATATGCAGAAATCTGATGTTGCGGATTCGGTCCGGGTAGAGCGAGCGTCTTAGTCGTAGCTGACGAAGTTGGGGAAGCAGGAGTGGTAGAGGTAGGTGGTGGGTTTGAGGCTAGAGCCATTAGCCAAAAGTCTTGATTTCGGATTGCCTGCGCTTGAGCCTGAGCTTGAGCTTGCGCTTGAGCCTGCGCCTGTGCTTGGGCTTGCGCCTGTACTAACGCGTGAATGTCCCAGAGAGGAGGTTGCGCCGTCGGTACCGGTACCGGTACCGGCGTCGGCGGAGGCGGATGTGTCAAAGTTGCGGGAGTTTGTGTGGTCAACGTACCAGGTGATAGTAGAGCCTTGGTTGATGGTGGAGTTACTGCACCTGTCAATACCAGATTCATGTCGTCCCCGCTGCACTGAAACACTTCAATGTATCGTTGTTTCTTGCCATATATCATGTACCGATGATGTCGCTGCGACGCACAAGCATATGCTGAACTTTCGCTGTCCATTTGAATAAATGCTTCACCAGAAGGTTGACCCTGAATAAATAAGCAGAATGTACATTGCTAGCTGATTTATAAAAAATTAAATGTGCTTGCGGTATAGAAGGAACACGTGTACGTACTTGAGCATTGTAAACCATATGAACACCCTGGTAGACAATATTTTTAGAATGTTCACCCATGAACTCGAGAATATGTTCAACGAGAGCTTCGTATGGAAGACCACGCAATCTAACGCAGTCCTTACGCGTACCAGAGGTGATAATATGTTGTGGAAGTATAGGTGGAAGCTGTGGAATGGGAGGTGTTGGTAGTACAATCTGTTTCGGATCAATCGCCCTATTCAAGACCTGTAAGTTACAAATTTAAAATGCTCGTTAATAACATATACTTTTAATTCTTCCTCTTATTTTTCTGCATGCACTTTTCGCATATATCCATACCTGTTGCACCTCGGCAATCGTACTTCGAAAAAGTTCTATGTACCGGCTTCCAATGCAATCTCTGTGTTTACTTAAAGCCTTCACGGCGTCTTCTTCCTTTGCAAAAAGAACGAACGCGTCTCCAGTTGCCCTACCATCTGGTTTTTTCACAAACAAAACGCCATCTTCTCCATCCAGTACGTGACAGGGCTTTTGCCCTGACAAAAAGAAGTCCAACTATAAAAAGTAATATACATATATAGTATGAGAACAACAATCACAATAGAACAACACATGGAAATCTTTTTATACGCACCACTTGTTTAGCAACACAATCATATGGCAAGCCTCGCATTCTAACAATAACTTGAGCTCCTCTAGATAAAAATGCATGAGCTTCACCACTAGTTCCTCCAGCCACACCAACAAAGTCCTCCCCAGATGCCTTATACACTTCTATATATCTTCCTCCCATATGATGTTTATGTCTTTTTAACGCCATGTCTCTGTGTTCTTTGTTCACAAACCGTACTAATGCTTCTCCGTTACGTCTTCCCATAGGACTTAAACACAGAGCTACACCACCCCTGTAAAATAATAATATTTTTGTAATAAAATTTAATGTCCTATTTGAAATTATGTAAGCAATTATATAGTGAAGAAGAATTATAGTTATATACATTACAATTGTGATCTTGAGAATCATTGGCAAATTTATATAGCACACAAGATTCATGACCCGAGATAATACTTATCATTGCATAAGAGAGATATAAACAGTAAGAAAATGTTTTAAACTGTTGTTTACTACCTTTTATAAAGTAAACATTACCACTTAAATAAACTTGCATCTTTATCCATAAGTCTATTTACATATTGGATATAAATCTTTACCTTTTTTTCATGGATCCAAGTGGCTTGTGTACAAATACCATAATAGTTATTACATTGAATTTTATTACAATTTTTAACCTCAAATATAGTATTTACAAATTTTACTTACTTGGCAACATTTAGGCCACGAAAAAATTTTGCTATATCCTGGTCAGATGATTGCCAAGGAAGACCTCTAGCTCTTACTACACAGCCATTGTCAACTTCTTCATCTTTTGAGCTGGGGAAGATCATAACATAGATAAAACAAATTGCATTAATCAGAAAACAAATCAATGACAACTTACCATATACCAGGTTCTAAAATAATATTAACTGCTTCAGGATTTTGGAAGACGTGACCTGTAATAAAAAAATAATAAAAATCATAAAATAAAATGCAAATTATGTTCAAATAAATGAATAAAATCATTTTAATAACATTTCTCACAATGTGAAAGGGATAAAACCGCGATTAACCTTAGAAATTGATGTCGCTTATGCCCCGATTGCAACCATGACTCACTTCGATCCGAAAAACGATTATAAGGCAACTCGTGAAAATTTGAATTCTTTCCATTTCTTTGAGTAATATATTCATTCGAAACAAAATAATGAATTTTTGATATATATAAATATACATAAAAGAAATTTTTATTACAGATGTCATTAGAAATGGAAAAATCAATTCTCCGGCGAAAAATATAATTATCGTTCTGGTGTCTCGGACTGTCTAGCACTCGCATTTCCTTTGTAATCGTACACCGGCAAGTTTGTCTCCGATTTCTCAAGCTTGAGCAAAATGCTCAGTTTCGATTTGCCTACTCGGTGCAACGTGTCAGCACACCTTTTAAAGAATTTTCATGCCTTACGAACCACAACTTCCCTTCCATCATCATTTCTACCCCCCACAATATACTACTTCAAACTGCAATAAAACAGAAAACTTTCGTTTAATCTGATTTCTGTAATGTAACTGATACAATGCGTACAAAAATTCTGCGTGAAATACAATAAATATAAAAATATTGTAATTTATTTTTGATGATAAATGTACGTTCATGCCTTGAAACAAGCAATAGCATTCGTTGCTTATTATACGCGCGCACGCACTTGTCACAATGGCACGCGACATGTACAAGATTGAAAATTAAAGTCAGTTTGAGTTGAGCACCATTGTGATAAGGAGTATATTATGACTGTCACTGCTTATAGCATTACACAGCTTGACCCGCACTCATAAACCACGAACACAAGTAAGAAACCTATGCACAGACTTAAGACGTACACTACTCTATCTCCTTGTCGTTCCATCCTTTTATTTTCTCTTTTTGTCCTCTCCACGTTTTCTCTTACTAACCTTTCTTTGTTGCGTGCAACGCAAGCGCAACTAAGTAAAATTTGAAACGGAAAGATTCCGAATGATGTGTACTATAGTAGCTGCTATATTTATAGTACGAATACATCATTGAAGAAGGCAACATGTGCAAATCGCTTGCAAATTAATATATTTTATTCATATATTTTATAATTTCATATTAGGTCATAAATATTTTGCAATAAAAAAACATTAATTAATCTTAAGGTTATTTAGATTAGTAATGAAAGACTAATAGAATTTCAAATTCATGTATCGTGTTGCATATCATTCAACATTTTACTATATTATGTATAACTATAGATATCAGTAGAAAATAACTGAGTTTTTCTTAAGGTCAAGATACGTAAAATATTTTTTTTTGTGTACGCTATGACATATTATAGAAAGAACTCGATTTTTCGAGAAATATCGCCTCCAACAAATCATGGCCTTGTTTATCGTGAATAAAGAAGGAAAGACATGGCCTAGCCACGTGCCAGTTGAAATGAACTTAAGAACAGGATTGCATTAATATCCATGACCGTATCTATATGTACACTTTACTTTAGGTATATAATCAAAAATCAAAACGACTGCAATCAGACTTTAAACTACGTTTACACAGCGCAAGCAATACAAAATATATATTCTTTACCCGAATGTACAATCCACGATAGATAGGACATATCGTAAGTGAACCTTAATCTTTGTCGAGAAATAATTAAAGGCTATTCTTTTGTCCATTAGACTGATTCGTTAATTTAAGAAAGATGAAAAGAAAGAGAAAAAGAGAAAGGAAATTCTCATTACCAACGGTAAAAATAAATTATAAATTTTTTCTTTTTTCGTTACAAATTTGAGGTTATACTCGAACACGAAAATTCATAGAAATTCGCTAGTCGATTACTTACCATCTTTGATCATTCTCTGTATTACACAGATCATATCTTGTATTTCTTTCACATGATAATCATTGTCAGTGTCTAATGGTAGACCAAAATCTGAATTTTCATTAGTCAAGGATAAATCTCCAGTTTTAATTTAATAATAATAATAATTCGTGTACCGATACCGAATTATAAAACGTAGATTTGAACAATGGACACCTTTACGTAAGCGACTAAGATGTATCAAGATATCGAACGAGTCCAAACATTATCGGACCTACTATCATTCTGAAAATTATAAATCAGCTGCGAAACCATAGTTAATTCTAATCTGCTATTTTAAAATGACTTAGATAAAATATTACACATTAATAAGTTATAAGATTTTCATGAGAATAAAAATTGTCTAATTTATTACAGTGAATTTCACAAGGAAAGAACGTAACCGCGTGAAGAGGATAGATAGCTAAAATGCCAAGAAATCGAACGAACTTGTTACGCGCATAATTATCCACATATCTCAGTTGGTCGTCAGGCTGTTACCAATATCTCAACCAGCATGACCTTTAAACCGTGTTCTGCGCGTGATAAGACTGCGTTGGTTACTTGGTGGGACTTTCTTAAGTCATTTGATTGATATTGGCAGTACGTTTTGATTTCATCTATTTTCCATCATTTTTCATTTTGTATTTAGTAAAATTGGAAACAAGTGAAAAATATCTAGCAATTATAACAATTTCAACTAAACATTTTACAATAGAAAGAAAAATCATTTATGGCTTATTTACAAATACTAAGAATTTCCATAAGAATGAAACATAGAATAAATAAAAGATCAGAGTAACATCAGCAGTACTTTCGGATTATAGATTTACAAAATAACTACATATTCTTAATTAAAATGTTTTTTAAAAAGTTATCGATTGAGATAGGTAAAGACAAATCAAAAAAAGTCGATTGATCGTCACATGACACGCACCGATCGATATTTGTGTATATTGTATCTTGTCAGTCACAGGTGGTTTTGTTTTATTAACAACAGACACGTCGATCACACGACACAACCAGTATAAAGTGGAACGATTATAATATTGTAGTCTTGACTCGAGCTTAATATCGTGGTTGGATTAGACTCATGGCAGGTACCCATTTGCATTATGAGTACTTTTTTCTTTTAGTGGATTAAATCTCATTTACGGATATATTTTATTTCTATAGCTTTCATGCAAATGCTAAAGGACACGGAATAAGAAAGATGTTAATCCAATGTATATCCAGATGCGAAGACGGATTTTCGTCTTTAATCCCAAGGAAACAAAAAAAATATAAGATGTGTCATGTACATACATATAAATGATTGCTATTGTTAACATCATTATGCCTTGGAAAAAGATAAAACGCAGAAACGTGATATATCGAAAAGCGGTCAAGAAATATTTTCCATACGTGTTTTACGATTGTACATACTTCTTCCTTGTAAACAAGAAGTCGTCTTTCAAGATAAATGTTGCCCCCAAATAAAAAGTAACATGCAATGAAACGAAATCATACAGATCCACGAATAGATTCGTCAACGCATACACATGCTAAAAATAAGGAAAACATACCTTAGATTTAAATTGTAATTTGTGTTTCAGAAAATTGTGAGATTAAGAAAAACTTCAGTTTTTACTATACACAGAGACCGATGCAACAAATAATTACACACTTCCACACGATATTCAAAAGTCTGCTACGTGAAAATTAAACAAAAAAACACAGTTAAGAAAATTATTTATATTTTGTTATATTCGAATATTATGATGGTCGGTAAGAGCGCAATTAACGCGATACGTACAACCTCCACTCGCTTGCAGACTGACTTTGCATCAGCGGTTAGTTCGTCGTCAGGTTCGTCAAATATGTTGGATTCGACTTCTGTCGCGCCGCCTAACGGCCGCACGCCTTGGAATTCTCGTTTCGACCATAGTCGTCGCCTTAAGGCAATCGTACGATATCGAAAACAAAATTTTCATCTTTGACTATCGAAATTTGAGCGAGTGACGACCAATCGAGTATTATAAATTTACTACATAATTTTTCCGAAATATTTATGACAATCGATTGCTTGATACATGTTTGTCTTTTTTTTCTTTTTCTAGTTCTTTTCGATGTGTTCGAAATCTATTGAAATATTTTCGTGCCCTAACTCTTCGAAAGAGGGAGTAACTTGATCCTGCAATCCTACATCTGTTACGGGATACACTGAACCGAAATACTGTCAAACAATTATAGAGATAATATATAAAGGGCGTATAGTATAAAATATCGAATACTATTGCTTTAATAAAATTTAGGAAAGGATACATTCCAGCATTTCCTGTATTCCAAAAGTCGAGAGTTCTCCATGGGTTGAATAACAGGCAACGAATTCCTTTCGAAGGTCATGAAACAGGGTATAATGTTCTGGTAGGTCGATGTCTTTGTTGCAGGCTTCTGGATGTAAGCATTGTCTCATCGGCGCCTGACCGTCTACGACGAAACGTGGTGCGGAACCGGACGTCACGCACATTGAAGACCACCATGCTTCAAACTTTTATTAAAAGTGAAATTTTTTTTTCGATTGTATAATACGAATTTTTAAAAATGTATATTAATATTCTTTTATAATTCTTTTATCGTTTATCATTTATAGATACAAAACAGACCCGCATATCTTCGTTTAACAATCTAAAAGTATGTCCAGAACGTTTCGATAAAAACACAATCACCTGTTCGATAGCTTGCTCCAGAGGAATTCCATGCTCTCGAACAGTTCTTTCAGTTAACGTCGGAGCATGCGCTAGCGCTGCTTCGCTGATGACTCCGCTACTTCCGGCAACTGCCGGATTGTCGCTACCGGTTCCAGGAGTACAACTTTCGTCCATTACCATCGGTCGTACAATATACTGTTGCCTTCCCAGCACCTGTGAAAATCGCGTTCACAAATAATCAGTTTATCTTCATTTAAATATTCTTTATTAAAAATCTTAGCCAAATAGCATCAAAATGGATTACTTAATCTCAAACGTGATGTAATTTATTAAAATATTTAACAAAAATTTCGATGTTAATTATCGATTATTTATTTAATATATAGATTTAAAATGTTAGTAATGTTTATTGCGTTACTTAATCAAAAGATAGATAATCTATTTTATCGATAATACGAACCAATTATCACAGTACTTAATACCCACTCCTTTAAGTATGCAACGCGTCACCTAAAACCTGCACGCTGAAACGGTTGCATGCACACAGGGGCACCGCAACGAAGTGCTCAACAAAAGTTTGTTATCACAGTTTATCTAACATTTTCACTTTTTCAACCAAAGAATATTATGTTAAATTATGATCTCTGACGTAATCATGACAAATTATAGTACTAACAACAAACTACATTGCTGTTTCCGTTTTTCCTTATATAAGCATAGGCCTAACCCTAAATCACTTTCATATCAGGACACATAATGATTATGTCCCACGTGAGTGTTCACCAAGTAGTTAGATAGAAAATGTTACATCCATGGCACAAAGAACTTTCTCCAAAGGTTAATTTAATGCTTGTTAGAACAACCACGATTGTATACAGATGTCTTCATCTTCCATTCTTTATATTAATTGTATATCATTTACATTACCATTTCATTACAATGCAACGTGCAATCGAATGCTATTGGTATAGCTAATCAATCATCAATTTACTTAAATTAATTTATAACTAGATACAAGATAGGAATCTTTTACAATAAACCAATTCTTTTTGCTTTTGGCTACTCATGAAAAAACTTCACTGTGTTTCGTAACACGACATAGGATTGTCTAAGTGAGTTAAAGAACGGCATACCCTACGTTTTCGTAATTGTAGCACAAATCATTAATTATGACTAGGATTTTGGAGTAATTACTCGTAATACGCGAAAAGGCATAGCCAGTGGAAACTTTGAAACTAGTGTCGGAAAAGAGGAAGAAAAGATAATAATAACGTATCGCAAACAATCAATTTCAGCATTCTATTCAGCAATTGTTGCGCTTTAAACTTTTACCGCGTTTCGAATGCGGATGGAAAGTAACAAGCAGCTAGAAATGAAAACTGTTTCATTTAGTTGTTCTGAAACTGATTTCACATTTCGAAACCGAAATGGTATTAAAAAATTTCTATACAGTATTGGAAATTAAATAATAGAACTTGTAAAAAGAAGATTATGAAAGGAATAAAAACATTTCTTAGTCATTCACACTCAATTCTATTATATATATATAATAATATATTTTAAAAAAGATATATAAATATATATCTCTTTCTTAAATTTTTAACAAAATAGTACACCTTGTTTGTTCGACGTGTTTATCAGAATGTATACTACGTGCGATTGGTTTAAACGATATAGCACGATCGCAAAATCAGTCGATCTTAAAAGAATTTGCAAATATTCTGACTTCCGACACAGTGATTTAAGATATTTAAAAGGAAGTAAGGCGATTGAATCTCAGTAATGTTGTACGATTACAATTTGAAATGAATTCTTCCATTGCTGGGTATTGTTAACATTAATTTACAAACAATTCAAGTGGCTTTAAATGTCCAAAGTATCAAACAGAACTTACTGGTAGTAAAATCGATGCAAATGATAATTAACGAAATAAGTCGGAATTCAAAGTTAATCAATAATTTTCTTCATTTTATTGTCTAATATTAGGTACCTACATGTAGAAATTGCAAATAGTCCTGAGTGACAACTTCAACGATGCCATTTCGACATCGATCGAGACCGTTCCTTAATACAATAACCTACGAACGCGTTATCGTTCGAATTAATCAGAAATACACGTTCGAGGATGTCACACGGTAGCCACATGTGGATGTCAGTGGAAAAACGTGTAAGAAACTTAATAGGTAGGTTCTTTGACGCGGGGTTAACGGATCAAGGTAGTTTGGTACTGAGCAAGCCACTGTCTTGGAATATCTTCGTCGATAAAACATCGTGGCGTAACTCGCGACATAAATGAACCAGTATTACGTGTTACGTAAATGTTAATTATTAACAGCTAATTATTCAGCACCACAAAGTCGCTATTTCGAGGATTATATGAATAGCAATCGAGGTAATCGAAGATTTTCCTATTTAAACTAGATAAATGATATTGGTGAACGTGCAAAATAATGGTTGTAGATCTATTATTTATTTTTAAGGATAAAAGAACAACGTTTCTGTGTTTGTTTTGTGTATCTTAATGCTTAACCTCTAGTCCTGAGAAAATAAGACCCAAGTGCGGAAAATTTTTCAGGTTCAGGTAAACTTTCCTGTCTACCTGTATCGTATCATCACCTAAATCGCACCATTAGGAAACCGTAATGACAGTTGCGAAGAAATTTTACTCGATAACCTAAGGAAGAAGACTGAATGTTCAATGGTCGTCAAAAGTTTCCATCTAAAGTATAATATTATGCTATTTTAATTTGAATGATCAATTAATCAAATTTTTTTCACAAGAAATTTCATAAGGTTGTTTGCAAGTCATATCATTTGGTACGTTTGCTCAGCAAATTTTTACTTCTAAGAACTCACTATCTACAATTTAACAATAACTGCTATATATAAATCGTGTAAATATAAATATGCATATTTCGTAGACACTGATGTATAAATGTTGTTATACTTATTTAGCGCGTATTGTATATAAGATATAAGTGCAGAGATTCACCGATGATTGCGTACGAGCTTTGATAACGGAATACATCTTCGACCGGGATTAAAGAAGCAACGATAACGTTCTGAGATTAGAAGTTGTCCTCGAGAGAGGCCCACGAATGGACGAGTGAAAAGATCATCCTGATCGTGTCCTTCAAGACAAACTGTCACTTCCATACGGTATAGGCTGAGATGGTGATTTTTCGAGACCTGTTCTCGACAAATGTTCTTGACCCAATACGTCGAGAAAGATTTTTACTGTTCAAGATTTTATGCTCTTGAACGTGTCTTCAACCCTGATCGAAATTGCGATAAAATTAGGGCTAACGATGGATGTTACAAATTCGTAATTAAACGTCACGAAAATCCTTCCCAAAATGAAAGTATCGATCACTTGGTCGATCTCTTTGTCGTTAAGGTTTTATTCTCGCAGATACAAAAAGAGTACAACGTTCAAATGACAAAGATACATGTCTATACGATTCTGGGATGATTTTAAACGTGAATGTTTACATCGTAGATAGCGATATTACGGAAAAGGTAAAAGATTTTGGACAGAAAAAATATAAAGAAATTAAAGCACCTCAGGAAAGGTATAGAGAAGACAATGTTTCAAGGTGTCACAATCCTGAATGTCCGTAGTGTGCGAGGCAACAAGGACACGAACGTAAAACGTAAAGTGCGATTCGAGGAGACCTCATAAATTGCAAATCCGACGAGTCCGAGCGCAAATGCGAGACAACCAACGAGCAGAAGAACGATATCTGTCGGGGCGGGAAGGGGGACAGGGGGTCAAAGGTCGTGAGTTGCTTACAAGAACTGGCTTGCCCTCGTCGAGGACGACAACGAAGCCGTAAAAACATCGCAAATTTCTTCGTCATGGGTCTTCCGAATATGCGACAGAAAACACGTACTGGAAAAACAACATCAACAACCGTTTTATAAGTTGTTATATATAATTCAAAACAATTAAAGAATATTACACACTTGTTATTCGAATAGGAAGCATCGGAGAATTTAACGCCACTTCGTATTTTTTCGAATAGCTTCAATTTCTATCTATGATAGTAAGTAAAACGTGACTCATTAAGATACGATATCCCTCATAAAGAAAAGAGAAAAGAGAGTCTCTGTCTGTAAGACAATTGCCTTTCAAACATAAGTTTATTGTTAATGCCGATCGCTTAAATTCTTAAATGTTAATCGATTCAAGTGGTACACCTTTGTGCAGGATTCAAGCTCGTATAATAATCGGGATTACTATTTCAATTCTATTGCTGGATGACGACAGCAGGGCGAATAATTTTAACGTCCGCCGAGCTCTCCATGAATCTTTTTCCCACAGAATACATTACGTCTTAGCGGTATTTGTGAGACTGCAACGCGACGACGTCGACACAAAGAGGGAGAAACTATGGAGGGAAGAGAAAAGGTTTCGGAATGGTGGACCGGAATGGGGCGGTCGGACGCGAATAATAGGCTGCGCGCGTAATATCTAAAGTCCAGGAAACGAAAGGAAATGGAGGAAGAATCGAGTAATTGAATAGCTATTCCTAGTGTATGCAGAACCGAGTAAATATTAAACGTTTGCAAAACGAACTAACACGATCAAAATCGTACTTTGACTTTGCACAATACAGGCAAGTTGAAGACGTTCTTGTTTGAAGATGCATGGAATTAATAACACTTTTTGTGCTTTAAACGAAATTATTCGAAATTGTGAACAAGGAAATACACGGCAAAGGGTCAAGCCTATAAATTGACGTCGCTCATTATAGTTCGACTTGGACGATCGACTTTAAACGCCGGAAGCGAATTATAATGGCCGAGTTGTGCAAGCCTTCTTTAAGCGAATTACGTAGCGATCAAATTGTAATCGGATAGACAGAAATTGAAACGAAAGTTAAGTATGTTTCCTAAACGTTGAAGAAAGCTGTAGTCTTTCAAAACTGTCTCAATTTCAAAAAAAGGAGAGGAAGGTAGCAAAATAGAATTTCATCAGGATTACTAAAGGGTGACGTTCGTTTTATACCAATGGGTAATTATACGGTCTATAAAATTGTGGTGACCAGAAAGAATCGCGAATGTTAATTTTTGGGGTTAGTTTTTAAGCGAACGACGTAACGTTCTAACTTTTAAAATTACGGATATTACACGCAACCCCAGAGTTTTTGTTCGACCAAATAAAACCACACTTCTGAGTAAAACCACTTGTATTTTCGCGTCTGAACTCTGCCGAGCGCAATATTGCTTTCCAAGCCCAAGTCAACGTCCTCTATTTTCACACGGCTAGGAACATTTCGTGGATCTTTGGTGAAATAAAGAGACGCGCATAGAGAAGCAACTGTATTCGTAATGCTCGAGCAAAAAGCAAGAGGTAATCTGCGTTTTGTAATGCGACTATGAAAAACTGGAAACAGAGGGGCGTATGTAATATGTATCGAAGCATTCAACCGGCTTCTGAATAGCCTCGAATCTCTAACAGACTGTATATCTAACACGTCTTGATCTTTGTTGTTTCCATCGGAGCAAGAAGCAAGTTTCCATGGTCCTCTGCTGGAAACAGCCGAGTGACTGGAAACTTTCGTTCGACGGGCTTT